ACTCCACTGAAGCATTCAGGTCTATCCTGGAAAAGATAGAAACAACAAAACTGGAGGGTGGTGAACTTGATGCTCTATGCCATCAACTCCAGGAATTAATTTCTTCCCTTAAGCCCTCAAAAGACATCATTGAAAGCATTGGGAGAATATTCCCAAGCAATGCGCGTTTAATTGTTCGATCCAGTGCCAATGTTGAGGACTTAGCTGGAATGTCCGCAGCTGGACTTTATGACTCAATACCCAATGTTAGTCCTTCCAATCCAACAGTTTTTGGAAATGCAGTCAGCCAAGTATGGGCCTCACTGTACACTCGGAGAGCAGTTTTGAGCCGCCGTGCTGCTGGCGTTCCTCAGAGGGAAGCTTCAATGGCAGTTCTGGTCCAAGAAATGCTTTCACCGGATTTATCATTTGTACTACATACTGTAAGCCCAACAAACCAGGATAATAATTTGGTGGAGGCTGAGATTGCTTCTGGCCTTGGTGAAACTCTGGCTTCTGGAACCCGTGGTACACCATGGCGAATATCATCTGGGAAATTTGACGGGCAAGTGCAAACACTGGCTTTTGCAAACTTCAGTGAGGAATTGCTGGTACGTGGTGCAGGGCCCGCAGATGGGGAGGTTATCCGTTTGACTGTTGATTACAGCAAGAAACCGCTCACAGTTGACTCAGTTTTCCGTCGACAGCTTGGTCAACGCCTATGTGCAGTTGGGTTTTTCCTAGAGAGAAAATTTGGTTGCCCACAGGATGTGGAAGGATGTCTTGTTGGGAAAGACATCTTTATCGTACAGACAAGGCCTCAACCCCTGTAGAAATCACCCGTCTCTCTTCAAATGGTTATGGCATTGAATATTACATAATTGGTCATTGTTCTGAATATTTTACGTGGTTGTGTGCACCGTAGTTGCTGGGAATTTCCTAGACTAGACTACACATTTAGTACAGTACAGGAAAGAGGAAACACATACTTCTGTTCTGTATGGCAATGGCACCAGCTATGTACGTGATGGAAATGGAATGACGTTCGACAAATTGATAGATATGAAATCAACCGTTACAGTTGGCCTGTCTACTACTGTATCTTGTGCAAAGTATGTAGATTTATTTCTTGAAAGACATTTTTGTGACGTAATAATAGTTACAAAGTTGGCTCAACACCCATCAAGAATCTTAAAGAACGCTGGTAATTCTTGTGTCTCTTTCAAGTGTCTACTTTCCTTTCTTAGTTCCTCGATTTTGAACACACTTCTAATACAAGACCTCTTCTATTTTCAGAAGACCTTGTGTTATATTGCCATATATCAATTCATATGTAAATGTAACTAATATATTGTATATCTTTCACGAAGGATTTCCGATTTCCATATACCTGTCCACAAATAGTTGCTGGAAGAGTCGGCAAAATAATGATGAACTGACCTTATTGCCGTGAATTCATTTGAATTCTTTGAATTTGACCCAATTTTAGGTGAAAGGCTAAAAAACAACTTGGGGCAATTTCGTGGACCATTGAAGTTTCGTTGATGGTTATAATGCTGATATTTTGTTGTTTGAAAAATAAACGTTTCTCCTACTTTACATGCTGCTTTCAAGGGTAGGAAAATAATTAGGGGACGAACCGGATACAGTTGTAAGCTAGTATGGATAAGTTGTGAATCTAAATTGATTTAAATTAATCTAATGAGTTTAAATAATATTTTTTTAGTGTTTGGATTAAATCTAATTCAAACCAATTAAAATCAAATATGATACAAATTGGATAAGATTTGTATTTTTTAAACCATGGTCCAATTCGATCCGATCATATAGCAATAACAATGAAAATAATAGTAATAAGAAGTTAGTGTGAGTACTTGACTAAGATAATATTCTTTGTCACTTTTGTTCAATAATGAGTATTATGTTTTGGGATTGATAAGATTGTAATAATGCAATATATTTATTTCAAGTTTTATTTTGTATTAATGTTAGTTGTTTGAGTTGATAACAATATAATAAATCAAAAAATTATTTTGGAATTTAGTTTATATCCATATTTGCTCTATTAGTTGATAACATTACATTTGCAACAAGATATATATTATAAAATATTTAATTTTTTATAAATAAATAAATAAATTTAATTATATTGAATCAATTGATCCAATCCAATTTATTCATGATAGGGTTGGGTTAGGTTGGATTTAAAAAAAAAATATAAACAAATCATATCCAATTCAACCCGTTAAATTTTGATTAAGTCAAATAATAGATTCATCCAAATTCGATCCAATCCTAAGATGTTTTAATTATGACAAATCATTCGCAAGGAAAATTATAAGAATGATGGAGAGAAGTTAAAATAACTAACATTGCTAAGAATTGAAGTGAAATATAAAACGAGTAGATAAGAGAATTTTTTAAGGAACTCATAATACATTTATAATAATTGTTTTAAATACGTCAAGTGATAAGTTTCTAAAGATTTAAATGAAGCACATCTATATGATAAAGTTACTGCTTCTCTTTAATGACTCAATATTGACTTGTTGCTATGATATCAATAAGGTCTTACTCAGAAGATAAATTAAAGGTTACATGAAATGAGACCACCTGAATGAAGTTGTACCCAATTCAACATCATAATGATGTATTGAAAGACTTTGAAAATGAAAAGATCATTATAATTTCATGAATGATCAATTAAGATCCTGAGGTGACATCATCAAAATGATATGCTAAAATCAAAACCATAAATGATTTATATGTTAGAATGAAAATTCAATGAAGAACATATCCCAAAATGACATACTCAATAAAATCAATGTTTAGTAGAATGATGTTTTTGTAGAATAACTTTATCAAAGTTATTTCAAAATACAAAGATACAATATCTTTAAAGATGAGATCTTAGAAGACATTGAACTAGAAAAAAACAAAATTAATCTTATGCCTTCCATATGAACACTCAATAAAGGTTCATTTGAAGACTAAGTTTGGCTCCATCAAAATGAATATATTTACATCTTCAACTCTTCAATTATGTAAGAACAATGAAGTTGATAGATGTAGAAAGGTGATCATCAATGACAAGTTTTTGAGAAAACTTCAAGAGAAGAATTAGAATAGTCTCTAATCCAAGGAAAAATTGTTATGCATACACACAACAATGTTAATCTGGTCAGAATGATCTGAGTTGAGAGAATGACCTTATCATGATAAGGATATATCAAAGATTAAATTTTTGCTTCAAAGACTTCATCAAAAGTAATCTTTTTCATAATAGAACTCTCATCATTTTTATCAAAATGGTCCTCTAATAAACAATTAGAAAGAGAATTTGAAGTGGAATATCATGAAATTCTTGCATAAGTGTAAAATTTAAGAATATTTTGTGCTAAGAATAAATATCGAGTATAATGAAGTCTTGCTTCTACAATATCATACCATTAAAGTTTTATTAAGAAAAAGCCTACATCATAATGTCCTTCCTCAACAACATTAAAATGCATTTTTTTTATAAATCTTCAAAAGTTCATTAAAACTATGCATCATAATGAAAACTTCAAAACAAATTCATAAATGATGACAAGTCATGTACAATGGACATTAATTCAAATCCCCTTCAAGAAAAAAGTTACTATCCCATGACTTCCACTTTTACTGAATGTTCCCTATAGTCTATAAAAGGATAAGTCATATCTTCTTCTTTTTTTTTTGTAAAGGACTGACTCACTTCTCTATATGTATACCTAAGTCTATTTTTGTCACCATAAAGAAGTGAGGAATTAGTTTTCCTTGGTAGAAACCCTTGTTAGGGAGAAAATTGTAATATGTGCAAACTCTCATAGATAACCAAAAATATGGTGATAGAACTCCTAATGAAGACCTTCGTGAAGTGTTGTGTAGAATTTTTTTTTTCTGGATACATTGTGGATGCACTGTTATTTGGATATCTTGTAAGAGTTGAATACTCTATGTTGTGAGCAACCTAAAAAGGTTGTTGTTGTATCCTACATGTGCTTGTTGGAGTGTGTTCACAATGAAAAATCTCACATGTGCAATGAGGACTAGATGTTACCTTGTGTTTAATGAATTGATATTTTTTTTTTGTGTTTATTTTTCTTTAACTCACTTAATGTTATAAGTTATAAAGTATCGTAATTTATTTGCATATAATCATTCTTGATAAACAATATTTTAAACATAAATGGAATCTTCAATAAATTTCATAGTTGATTCAAAAGATTTTAAAATCTATTTAGAACTAGCAATGATTTTAAACAAAATATCATATATTCATTAAGTTTAGAACAAATATTCATATTGAATAAACAATTTTTGAACTATTCTTAGCATATTTTTATCTCTACAAAAGGAATCAAAGTTTTTATGAAAAAACAATTTAATCTCTCTATCTAGCAACAATTTCAAATTGATCGTTAGTCATTAAGTAAATGATCCTTGTACAAGTATTGATACTTGTTGAATTGGATGATATAATCATAATTCTTAGCTTTCAATTAAACAATTGGGTTTGCTTTTGTTGAAAAAGTAATTTTAGAAAAACTGATTGAACTAAGCTATAGATTCATACAAACTCAAATTGAAAACATAGCAAATAGCTGGTTTGATCAAAAATACATTCCTACGTTTAAAAATTTGTTTATTGTTGATGACACCTTTGAGTTAATCTCGAACAAGTTTAGTTCTTTTTGAAACTTAAACCAAATTTTCCAACCATAAAAATGATAAATATTTATTTTATATAATTAAAATTCATTATGAATATTTTTGAATATATAAATTATATTATAATGTAAACTACTATGGTCGGCAAAGTTATAAATTCTAACTTTATTGTCTCTATAGAATGCACAAAAAAAAAAAAAAAGTTAAAACCTAGTTATATTTGTCTTTGCGTGGTTGGATGTTAGCTGATAAATGTTTTTGTTCTTTATTTATCCGTAATTTGATAAGATGAATAGTATTTGCATGAATAGGTGGCATAAGAAAAAGAAGATAAGAAGAGAAAACGTGAGTTAGAGAGAGTTTTGGGGGATAACTAACTAATCTAATCTTGGATTCGTTCATGCTGTGCTGTAAAGCGAAGCCTATCACTCGTGTTCAATGTAATGCAATCATTCGGATTCTGCATTGTTATCATCACTACCTATTTATTTACCACATACATATATTTGGCATGCATTTCTTATTTAGAGTTTTTTATCGGTTGAATTATCACATTCTAAGTTTGTGCAGAAACGATGAATTAGTAGGTATGAGCTATTTGTGGAGGGGGAGAGGGAATGAAAGAAAGTGCAATTGAATTGAATTGAATTGAGTTTAGTTGAATTGAAATAACCTAAAGATCAAGAAATAAGAAGAATTGTTGTTGTTGTTGTTGTTGGAGGGGATGGGAACATGCCTCTCGGTGACAGGGGCATCGGCCTCCATAGATACTTTGGATGAATCATCAACAGTGACTCCAACAACTTCCTTTGATCATAGCACAGAAATGCGCGTCCACAGAGTTCCTGGCAGATTATTCTTGAACGGATCATCGGAGACAGCCTCCTTGTTTTGTTTGCAGGGTCACAAAGGGGTCAACCAGGACGCTATGCTTCTTTGGGAGAACTTCTCTTCCAGAGACGACACCGTTTTGTGTGGCGTTTTCGATGGCCATGGACCCAATGGCCACATGGTTGCCAAGAAAGTCAGGGATTCCTTCCCTTTGAAGCTCATTGCTCAATGGAATTTGTATTATCCCAACAACAACGATAGCAATTACAATTACTATGATCCTCTTCGTAAATCGTTTCATGAGAAACTCACTGCCGTTGCCCCAACCAATTTCGCCACGCTCAGAGAATCCCTTGTGAACGCTTGTAAGGTGTTGGACAGAGAACTCAAACTGCACCATCAGATTGATTGCTCTTGCAGTGGAACCACGGCTGTTACCTTGCTCAAGCTGGTACTAACAATAACCATCTTATTTCAAATACCCTTCATTGCCTTTTCTTTCAGATTCACACTTTTTTTTCATTCTTTGAGGGCCCCGACCTTGTTATTGCCAATGTGGGGGACTCCAGAGCTGTGTTGGGTACCCGAGATCTTCAAGGGTCCCTTACTGCTGTTCAGTTGACCACTGACCTTAAGCCAAATCTTCCAAGTACCTCGCTTTCTCTCTCTCCCTTTTACTAAACACAATAACCATCTTTAAATGGTGGATCTTTTTTGACTCAGGGGAAGCAGAGAGGATAAGGATTTGCAAAGGAAGGGTGTTTTCCCTTAAAAATGAACCTGGGATTGATCGAGTGTGGCTCCCCAACGTTGATTCACCTGGGCTTGCCATGGCGCGAGCTTTTGGAGATTTTTGTCTCAAGGACTTTGGAGTCATCTCTGTTCCTGATGTCTCCTATCACCGCCTCACTTACAAGGATCAATTTGTTGTATTAGCCACAGATGGGGTAAAACTCTCACTCTCTTTCATGTCTATTATCAAATCAATCATGATCATATGAGTTTGTATGAGCAGGTATGGGATGTTTTATCAAACAAACAAGTCGTGGACATTGTGGCATCTGCTCCACGCTCTTCGGCGGCTCGAGTACTGGTTGACTCAGCTGTTGAGGCATGGAAAACCAAACTTCCCACTTCCAAGGTTGATGATTGCACTGTAGTTTGCCTCTTCTTTGATTCAGAGTCAGACTTAAAATCACCATCTAACAACAGTAGGAATGCCGTTGACCACTCATCACTACTTAGAGTGGAATCTGAAAGAAAGCACCAATAGTACACTTTTTATGCCTCACCTTATTAATATTTAGGTGCCCAGGCAGGATTAGGCTGCATCACTTTTACAAATTACACTCACATCTTATGAGGTTTATCAAATTTTCATTTAAATAACATTAAATATATCTTTTCCATTGTATAGGTGGAAAAATGTCAAAAGTAAAGTAAAAAAATAATTTTATTAAACATCAGGAGTGTGAGCTGTAATTTGTCTTATATATTTGCAGGGAAAAGGGATCTTGTCTTTCTTTTTTTATCCTTTTAGATGGAGTTCTGCTCCTTCTCTGTATATCTGGTAGATGTGGACTTTCATAAATCAAGTCTCTGGATTGTATTATATAGTTTATCCAGTGGATAGCTCGAAACAAAGAGTTCAAAAGATTAGGGGACTTGTTTTTTTTTTTTTTTTTTTTTT